TATCTATCTATCTATCTATCTATCTATCTATCTATCTATCTATCTATAATATGAATCAATTGCCAAACGTTGAAATTTTGATCATGTGACCATGGAGATGTTCCAATGGTCGTAAATGTGAAAAATGGGCATAAGCCACTTTTTTCAGTGCCATTTTAACTTTGAACGGTCATTAAAAGAATGGTTATAAGGCAAGGACAATCTGTATATTGAGCTTATTTAGAAGCTTAGTCCTCAATGTGCTATTTTAAATTCTTTTAGCCCCTTTTAAATGTTTTTCTCTCCTAAGTTTCTTGGTTTGTGTGGGTTTTCCAATCAGGCAGAATCTAGAAGCATACTAATGGCCTCTCTGCTGTTTGTGTGTTGTGTAATTAGTCCTGTTATATAATAGAACACACCTACTATTGTTACTATTATAGGTAAGTAGGAGCTTAAACAAATGTGCTGGTAAACTACTCCTAGTCAAGACATTTTATTCCCCTGCTTCCCACTTTTTAATATTCCGTAGGCTATGTTTTTAATATTCATCTCCTTCACTCTTAGCATTTTAAAATATAAATCTGCATACATATTTTCAAACCTGCTTATTATCTTTCCCCTTGTGTATGGCCTGTGTTGATTTGGCTACAAGAACCAAAGAACTATAATTGCTTATCATTATACACGCAATACAGACAATTAAAGATTACAATAATTTATGTACTATGCAAAGTTAAGTAACAAAGGTTTGAATATATAACTTCAAAGGAATGTAACTTTCTAGTTTCTCATGAATAGTTTCATTTTTTGTAAGTACAGTAAGCTACTAACTACAGTCACATTAGTTACTCTGAAATTATATGGCTACCATTAAATTTTGCAGGAATCCCATCCACCATAATCATTTCTAAATGTAATACCTCTGGTATTATAATCAAGTGATCAGTTCGTTCATAAAGAACATCTAAGTTTCGGAAAAGAATCAGTTATTCTGCAAACTATTTTTACAAAACATAGAAACTATGGAATTCAGTGCTATCAAGGGTGATGATGGCCACTACTTTCCAAATTTTTAAAAGGAGAATCGTGTATCAATGACTACAAGTCTTAAAGATTCAGAATGCCTTAAATACAAGCTACAGCAAAGCAATAACAGCAAAGAAAGTGTATTGGCCTCCAGTCCATATTTATCAATTTCCTGACTGCATCTATGTGCACACAACTCTAACCTAGCAGGCACTTACGTTTCAACTATATATATTCATGCAGCTGAGAAAAAACAGAAACTACAATATATTTTACCTCAAGTTATACAAATGTTGAGCTGGTCATGGAATTATTTGAGTTGAATTTGAATTTATTGTAGTCACTCACCAATGCACACTAACAAAAATAGATAAGAATTAACACTTTCTACACTAAAAACAAATAACAATAAAATGAACTCACAACAATGAATTGCTAAATCAGAAACATGTAACAGAACAATTGCCTCAACTATAATTTTAATTTTTAAACTAGCAATTTTTCAGCCACAGCAGTTGATAAAATTGTTATTTTTACCAGGGATTTTGAGGGGGCTTACATTAATTTTCTCCAAATGATGTAAATTACAATACAAAATTACATTTAAATATGTAAATCGTGATCCAGTTTTCATGCTTCCATCAACAAAATCTAGAAAATAATGAGTGGGATTCAGTGTTTGGACAAAACTTGGTGTGTGTGTGTGTGTGTGTGTGTGTGTGTGTGTGTGTGAATTCATCTTGGACTGTCAACAAGTCAGTTTGTTCTGTGTCACTAATATGTTTTAATGCCCTGGAATTTTTCTTTAAATCTTCTACCTATGTCCCAAAGGTGCTTTTTCAAGAGGCAACTGGACTTTCTGGTTTTTCTTTGAAGATATTTTGCTTCTTATCCAAGAAGCTTCTTTAGTTCTGGATAAGAAACGAAACGTCTTCAAAGAAAAACCAGAAAGTCCAGTTGCCTCTTGAAAAAAACCCTTTGGGAGAACCCTGACCTGGATGACTTGAGAATCTCCATAGACATTTTCTACCTATGGGGACTTAGAAAATGCATTAGCTAACAAAGCAGCCAATAGAGGTTCTCTCCCTTCTGCTATGGGCTGAAATTAATGAAGGAAAAGAAAATATGAAGGAGAATCGAGTTGGTAATTGGTAATTTAAATGTCTTGTTTTCTGAAACTTAAAACCCCACTGCATAATATAAAGGCTTCCTCAGAACTTTCATTTCATTGGAAGTAAAAACAGAGCTGTCGATGATCTAAGAATCAGAAAGTACCAGAAGACTTCAAATCAAAACATGATCAGCTTTGTACTGTTTATTAGTATTCACATACAGTTTTACGTCAGGGAAAATGATGCAGCACCTACCAATTTTGCCTCTGACTGCACCGGTTGTGGAGATGAGGGTCCTGGAATTCCTGGGATGCTAGGCACCATGGTGACAGGCCTGACAAGCTGTCCAACAGAGAGTCCGAGTTAAGAACAAATACAAACAAACTCTACTTCATAAGCAATTAGGATTCACACCTGTGTGAATGAATGAATATCCCCTTACTTTAACTATACCATAATGCTGCTCTACCTCAATGAGATTATTAAGATTTGACTCGGAGGATCTTTAATCCTATCTGCTGATATTAGGTAGGTGGTATCCAGGAAGAAGAACCCCTACCAAGAACAGCAGTCTGTTCAGGAAATAACCTTTCCAGACATGTTTATTTATTAATCAAATATGTGTGCTGATCCCTTGAGGTAGCTAACGAGATTACAAAAATACAATAAAGTATAAAAAACATAACAGTAAAATAAATACTGTTCAAACTTCCCCCTGAAAAGCCAATCACCAGATTTTTATGGAAAGCAAACAATGTGGGAGATGGAAAAATATCCAATGGGAGTTCCTTCCAGGGCCAGCTCTCAAAAACAGAGCTTGTTTTGTTAGTTCATAATAAGGTTTTTATCTGTTGAATTATTATTTATTAATTTATTATTACTATGATCACTTTTATTACTATTAGATTTACAACTCACTTTTTATTTCCTACAACTCAAGGCAGTTTACACAATGCCCTGCTTCCTATATTCTAATCCACAATATCTCCCCCCCCCCGCCCCACCTGTGAGGTGAGTGGCTGAGAATGATGACCCTGAAGTCCCCCAGTTGACTTTCATGACTAAAGGAGGACTGGAACTTATTGGTCCTCCTAGTCCAATCTACTCTTCAGCACAAAAAAATCCAGCATTTTCTCAACAGATGACTATCTAGACCTCCGTTTCACACCTTCAATACAGAGAAGCCCTGTCTCTTGAACATGTTGTGCACTTTCTTACTGGTTAATTGAAAACTAACCTCCTACAGCTTAAGGCACAGCCTATTCCCTAAGAAGCAAAGATGAATCTTTCTCCTCCCCTATCCAGCTGGCCTCCACCTATCATAAGTTATACTATCAAACATATCTCAGTAATATGGACTGCTACTTTTCACTTTTATTTATGGCTTCTGAAGATCCGGATATTCTTCTATATATTATTTATATATAATAAATAAACCTGTATCCAGGCCTTTGGCTACGACCAATTATACATAAGGTTGATTAAAAATGTCAAAAAAATACCAAGCCTGAGCAGAATACTACAAGCAGGGTATGCATTAGGGATGCCTGTAGTACTGTTGATAATCTAGGTAGGGGGGATAGTTAGAGTAGATATGCTACATCCTTCTTTGCCCAAATTAGTTTATATGAAGATTCTCCCCTTACTCCTACTGAGGAATGTCTTTCAGCTTTTTTCTCCATAGGATCCTGATTTAGATCTAATTTCAGTTTCCCAGTGTTAGTACAGTCTAATTATATGCTCCTTTCCTATCATCCTTATTGGTTTTGCCAGAGACAGATGTTCCCAATATAAGGATTCAGTGAGAGAGACTTGTCCAAACTTTGAAGGAAGGTATTGCATCATACAATAGACTTACAGGAACTGCAGTTGGTACACGCACATTAGAATTTGTGATTGAAGCGGGAATAGCAACAGGCATGGTTTGTCCATTAGGAAGATGCAACAAAAGGGGGAAAGGGCCTGGCACCGGTCTAAGAAAAGAAGAAAAAATAATTATAGCACTTATAGTAGAAAAAATATTGCAAATTTCATTAGCCCTCGAAAAAGGTCTAGGGTGCTGAAACATTTTAATCTCCAATGTTAGATTAATTTTAATTTGTAGTTTTGATTCTCTTTTCTAACACCAGAAAAAAATTATCATGAAGTTATTTTAAATTTTTGACCACAGATAAATTTTAAATTTTATTTCATAAATATTTGCAACAATCCTATACAATTACAGAAATTATTAAAATAAGGTTTGTTTTTTTTTAAAAAAAAGAGATATAATCATCCTACAGTCTGAGTTTCACCATTTTAGCACTATGAGATTTGTTTGAGGATCATTGGTATTGGTCATAAATTAGAAATGGTTTATGGAACACTGTAATATTATCTGATGGTTTTCTAGATGGTGGGATTAGTGGGGCCTTTCAGACCTGGAATGTCATTGTAAAGAAGCAGCAGGAGAAGAAGAACAGGAAGAAACAATCTGATCCAGATACGAAGTTCTGCAATCTGAATTAAGTCCTTTGGTTTGCAAAAAAAGACAAGAACCAGTAATGGAAGAAGAAATGTTTTTATCAATTCTTCTCTTCCATCAAAATACAATTAAAGAATCAAATTTCCAGATGGCACCCACAAAAAATGGAGGAATCAATGAATACACAATCTTCCTTTCAGCAAAAATACTTTAAGAGAGGAACTCTGGAGATAAGCCAGAGCTGTTATGTCTTACAAAATAAACATCAATATTTGTTTCCATCATGTCCTCCCTTTAGTCATATAAAGCACAAAACTAAATAAGACTGACAATTTTTATTTGAAAATCTGGATTATTTTTTTCCCAACTTTTCAAAATCCCAGCTAGTCCTTGCCATTTTATTGAATGCTTTGAAGATTATACCAGCAGTTGTGAGGATATATTTACAAGAGACCAGAACATTTTAGTATCTATTTAACACAACACTTACACTATTGGCCTATTGGAAGATGGAGCTTGTGTTATGACAGTGCTAGAAGTTGGTGAAGGTATGGCTTGCTGAATAATGACACTTGAGTCAGAACTTGCAAGCAACACATTAGGAACCTGTAGAGAAGCTGGGCGTACAATTGTGGAAGTAGGCTGGGCAGTTTGCTGCAGACACACTTCCTGCAAGAAACATGAAAGTTTCTCAATTTCCCAAGCCCCATTAGAATCAAAGATAAACAGAATTCTTCAATTATACTTAGGTTTCTTTTAAAGTTTTCTCAAAAATGTTAAAATCCCTCAAATTCTTTTAGTTGTAACTTACTACCATTTCTTACATTAAGAACTACCACATGGATCTGGAATAGGCAACCTGCAGTCCTAAGGCCACATGCAACCCTTGGCCCGATTTCATGCAACCCTCAGCCTAATTTCAAAAGTTCTTCACAACTGATCAATTCAGACCCCTGGCAAGAATCTGTCCCTTCCCCAGCAGTTTGCTGTGAGAAAAGAAAGAGAGAAAGGGGGAAAAAAGCGTCAGAAAGAGATTATGAAAGAAAAAGTATGAGAAAAAAGGGGAATTTTAGAAAGAGATTAAATGGGTCAATCAACTCACTTTTGCTCTGGTTTTCTCCATGACTTCTGCTCACCTTACTGCCTTATTACTGCCTACACCTATATCACTTTCATCTCCCAAAATAGATCACCCACCCCAGCAGAGATTGCTTGGTTGGGACTACAGGCAAAGACAATATTCTGCAAGCATGTTGTTATCAACGTTTGAGGTTTTTTTTCTCACACTTGGTAAGTGTCTCTACATCACTTAAATTTAAATTGTTTTTATCAGATTTTAGTAATAATTTGTGTCTGGAACTCTGATATGGCCCAAGGGCTAATCAATAAAGTAAATTAAGTAAGTAAGTATATCACTTAAATGTGTAATATCGGTATGGATTCTTGATGTGGATAGGTTTGTGTGCCTAGTCTGTTTGAGATACATAGCAGGAAAGATTGTGTCTGCATCACAAACATTGCTATACTGACTTTTAATAGCTATCCAGGATAATAAAAGTACGCTTCAAAAATGTAACAGTTAAAAATTTAATTTTAATGTAATGTTTACATTAGTGTGGGTTTAATTTGCGCTATACAAGGAATACAGATTTGTAGATGAAGTTTAGTAGAGTATTTATGATCTTATGATTATCTTAGATTTACTGGTAATATCTATAGAAATACTATACATCTGAAGTATAAAAAAATCTCTGACCTTCTCGTCACTGGTCGTAGACTCTGGATGAGGTAAGGGACTATCTTGGTGAGTTGTTTCAACCACTGTAGGCTCTTCAATTTTATTTCTTATAATTGGAGTTGCAAGAGGTGATAAATCTAAGGGCATCTGTAAGAATTAATGTTGAGATAAATTTTAAAACATGCAAATTATAAATGTCTCTTTAGAACAGGGAATTCACAATAATGCCAATGTAGTAGCTAAAATATGATTTCTTCAGTTAGTTACCGTGTTTCTCACAAAATAAGGCCGGGCCTTTTTTTTTTTTTGACCCCCGAAAAAACGGCTAGGCTGTCTTTTCAGGGATGACTTAATTCCCCTCCCATGCATCCTTGGGTAAGCAGGGGGCAACAGCTTGGATGTTGACCTCGGCGTTGGTGGGGCACTTCGTATCGGGACACCTTCCGTCACCGTTGCTTTCCCTTCTCCCTTGCTGCCGTGGTGTTTAGAGCAACGCCGCGGCATTTGGCGCAGCCACGTGCGGCCAGCCAGGGCTCCTCCCTGCAACCGGAGCCCGGCGGAAACACTCGGCTTCAGGCGCTCCTGTCGCCGCCTTCCCTTTGCCTTCGAAGGTAAAGCCAATTATTTTAAAAACGACGCCCTACTACAACAAAGCCTCCCCTGCCTGAGAGGGCAGCCCAACCCCACGCGGGGAGGCGAATCTCCTGGGGCCGCAGCGCAGGATCGGCCCACCTCGAGAGAAGCGCCCAGCCGCCATCCCTGCCTGGCACCGGGCAGAGCGTGAAGAGCTTCGCCTGGGGCGCCCAGCGCAGCTGACAGGCGGGCCCTCCTTCCTGGCAGCAGAGCTCTCACCAAGGCAGCGAGCGACTCCCCGCCGGACCCTCCGCTCATCCCGCCAGGGCCGCTCCAGAGCCGTGCGGGCTGGGCAGAGCCAGGAAAGCGAATCGCGGGTGCACGCCTGCCTGCCAAGCAAAAGAGCCGGGCCGACCTGACCTTGGCTTCCTTCCCAAGTCCCTCCAGCGCAAACCCGAAGGTGCCACCGGGAGAGGCTGCCCAAGGCAGTGAAAGCGCCCACCCGTCTGCGGACAGGGAGGCAAGGCGATGGCAACGCTGCTTCCCTGGCCGTCGGAGAGAGCCCGAAGCCCCCCGTCCTTTCCACCCCTCGCCCAGCCCATCCCCGTCCCCACACATCTCCAAATGCGCCGGCAGCTCCAAACGCTGCAGCGGAACGGGCATCAGGCAGAGGCGCTGACTCGGTGGGGCTCAGCTCAGAGGAGGACGCGGCGCAGGCTGTCGCCTTGCCTCCCTGTCCACGGATGGGTGGGCGCTATCACTGCCTCGGGCGGCCTCTCCTGGTGGCCTTTGGGTTCGCACTGGAGGGACTTGGGAAGGAAGCCAAGCTTGGATCAGCCCGGCTCTTTCACTTGGCAGGCGGGTGCGCACTCGCGGCTCGCTTTCCCAGCTCTGCCCAGCCCGCACAGCTCCGGCACAGTCCTGATGGGATGAGCGGAGGGCCCGGCAGGGAGGCGCTCGCTGCCTTGGCTAGAGGTCTGCTGCTGGGAAGGAGGGCCCGCCTGTCAGCTGTGCTGGGCGCCCCAGGCGAAGCTCTTCGTGCTCTGCCCGGCGCCAGGCGGGATGGCGGCTGGGTGCTTCTCCTGGGGTGGGCCGATCCTGCGCTGCGGCCCCGGGAGATTCGCCTCCCCACGTGGGGTTGGGCTGCCCTCTCGGGCAGGGGAGGCTTTGTTGTAGTAGGGTGTCGTTTTTAAAATAATTGGCTTTACCTTCGAAGGCAAAGGGAAGGCGGCGACAGGAGCACCTGAAGCCAAGTGTCTCCGCAGGGCTCCGGTTGCAGGGAGGAGACCTGGCTGGCCACGCATGGCTGCGCCAAACGCCGCGGCATTGCTTTAAACGCTGTGGCAGCAAGGGAGAAGGGAAAGCAACGGTGGCGGAAGGTCTCCCGATACGAAGTGCCCCACCAACGCAGGCAGCACCATATCCAGGTATGTAACAAAAGTACTTCCTAACGGCAAGCCCCCCCGCCATTCCCCATTTCACATGTTTAATATAGGCCTTAATTTGGGGGGAGGGGCTTAATTTGATTTTATGCCAATAAAACATCCTGGGCTTTCCTATTGGTGGAGGCCGTATTGTTGGAGAAATACGGTAGAAGGTATCTACTGCTAACATTAAACTATTATAAAGTGATATCCATGAAGTTTAATCTTAGGAAAAACAAGTGTTTCTATTTATAAATAGAATGTAGAACTCTTAAAAGCCTATTAAGAGCTTTATGTTTCAAGCAAAGTAATATTGAATTAAAATAACATTTTTATGCTCATCCTCATTTTGTTAATAAAAAATTTCTAGGTGCAAGTAATCAGTATAAATTGATATAGTTTTAATCTGCTACATTTACATACTTTTTTAATATCATCTTCAGAAGCTTTTTTGAATTCATTTTCAAAAGGACTTGCTAATTCATTGAATAAACCCACTTCTTCACAATTCTTCAAAAATCGAGTTGGCGTTGGAGTTTGATCTGAGATTTAAAAGAGAAATATATGATTTCACCCCCTAATATAAAATACGTGTTTGGCAATCAAAATCAATATTATTAACATCACAAGCACTTTATAAAATTAATATGTTCAAACAAGAACACAGTAAGAACAAAGCTGAACATCTTGTTCTTAATGTCATCATGTTTGTTTTAACAACATTATTGAAAATTCAAACATAATAAAAGGACTTTAAAAATATGAACATTTGATTTGTAGAAATTCAGGATACTCTATATAAGGAAGAATAGAGAAACATTTTTGTATGTGAAGATGTGCTTCATCCATTACTTTGCTCGTGGGCTTTAAAAAAAGCAAATACTGCACTGGAATCTCAAAATTAAATGTAAATGTTTGCTTCTCCAAAATATCATAAAATTCAATTCAAAAATCAGATATTATGAAAAAAAATCTCTTGTATGAGAAGGAATGGCAGAACATAGTGGCGGAATCAAAAGAGAAGTCACCTAAAGTCTCTATTTTGGCACAAATGGACTAAGTCCTATATATCTCTTGAATTCCACTGACCCTTATCTAAAGCCAAGACAGGGCTAATGGTTAGTGGAGCAGTTTCCTGAGCATAGGTATGAGTGATTAGTAATCAATCAAGTTTAATCAGAACTTCATGTGTGGTCCTGATCTTTTCTGCCTGACACTTCTTCATCTATTGTTGAGGAATAGTATCTTTCTATGCAAAATAAATGAAAAGGGAGAAAATGATAGAAACTTTAACAAAACGTGATCAGTACAAATTTTAATTTCCACCACCACTGCAGAATATAAATACCCTAAAAGCCACAATTAATTTTGTACTGATGATAATGATAACATGGGATATTGGCAAGACCCAGATTTGAAGAACAAAATAATCAGAGAGTGGAGAGACACTCATCAGGATAATGTATTGTTCTCCAAACTGTGTATCAGTTGCAGTCAGCAGCACACAATCCTTCAAACACAACAGTGTTTAAAGCATCCCCTAGATATACCTGCCCACACATTGTCCAAATCTCATTTGGTCCTTTGAATCTCATATCTGACAGTTATAATGTTTGAGACTCAGTGATAGGACGATAACATATTTAGGAAGCTATGTTAGTATTTCATTGGTAGATAGTTCATGCAATCACAATTACACATCTTCATAGGGACAAAAGAATAAAATAATCCACATAATAGCTAAACCATAACATTATAAAATTATTTTGCTGTAGAAGCTATGGTCTACCTTTCATACAGGATTTGTGTAGGTATTTATTAAAATTACTTTTGGAAGATAACATTACATGTAACTCCATTGTATTCCATATTGTACAAATAACATAAAATACATTTGAATCAGGTCTATACAAACAATAATTTCCAAATAACATAATAACCTATGCCCTGGATCACACAGTACATTGAGCCATACATTAATCATGATTTACTGTATAACCCCTATGGATCAAATCATATAACAATCCAAATCCAAACAAACCATATTCTGGCTTAGCGCAATGTCAACATAGTCAATGCATAATTCTAGAATGTGAACATCATTTTGATTACAAAATATTTTTTTAAAAAACCCTAAGTCTGTTTACTGTGTTATGCGAATATTGCCTTTCAGACCTTTTTAATTTTATTTATAAACTTTTTTGTTCAAAAGCAAAAATGGAAAGATTTAAAAGAATATTATTGTAAGGGAAAAGACCATCAAAGATATAAAAAGATTAAACAAGAGTATATTCAATCAATTGAAATTTATTTTTAAAGTTTCTTTATCAAACATAATTAAGATCAGTAAAAATGTAAGAAATAATAAGAAATTATCTCATAGCAACATGTACAGATGACTTTGATAAAAAATATACTGTATGGATACGCATTCTCTATATCTATAATAAATTGCTTCTTACAACAATTTTGTGAAGTTTTGTATATTAGACTGCTCTTAATTACTAAGGCTGAAGCATATATAGCCAATAGATGGTTATTAATTTATCAACCAATCAATCTTAAGGAAAAGGACAATACATGACATAACTGTGTTTTGTAAAAAAAAAAAGCTCTTGACAGGATCTCAAGCATATGTAGAAAATACATAAAATCTGGGCATGTTCCAAGAGTTGGATTAATAAAAGATATACTAACCAGCTACAATGACACTGTCATTACGAGCTGGACCAAATTTCAGTGTCATCTCATGTTTATGTTTATGGACAGCCAAATGATCCTCGTTGGTAAAACGCTGCGACAAGAAGTTTTAAAATACAGTTATAAATTTGAATTATGACTAAACAGTGGGAAACATTTTCAGAATGGTTACAAACTATTTGCAATGAAAAGGCTGATTGATTTTTGTTTAATTAAAAGGTTGATACAATTACATACTTCTAAATTTGTTTTTTATTGACCATTTTCTTGAATATTTAAGTAGCATCATCATAAGTAACAAATGATACATATCATTTTAATGGTTTTCACTCTATTTAAATACAAATTTTGACACACAATAATTCAGAGTTTTAACCACTATGATAAATTGCAAATATTCTATAAGACTTCCTTCCTTCTCCTCTCCTTTATTCTGCCATCCATCTAAGAATTCTCTAGTTCAGGGGTGTCAACTCAATTTCATTGAGGCCACATCAGGGTTGTGTTTGACCTCAGGAGACTGGGGTGGGCTTGGTCATCTCAATGTCACTTGTATCGGGGGCGCCTGTGGTGGCCCAAGCGCTTTGCCAACGAAAACAGGCTCCTAAGCTCTGTTTCTGGCTGCAACAGCCTCCTGCAACCCTCCTGAGGCCCTTCCGAGCCCCATTTTTGCTTGCAGGACCGGGGCGGTCCTTCACTCTTTCCAGAGTGCCCCCCCAGGCCAGATCTAAGCACCCCCTGCCCAGATCTGCCCCCCGCAGGCCTTGAGTTTGATATCCCTGCTCTAGTTCTATTCCAGAAAAATTAGGAATTTTAAAAAATAGATTGAGAACACATATAGAAAATAGCCTTATTTTTCTGTGCTTTTTTTCCTTGACACAACTTTGCCATTAAATTCTATCCAATGCTCTGTAATTGCTTGGCACAATTAAATGGAAATTACAAGGAATAGATAATTTCTGTGCAAAATTCTCCAACTGTTATTTGCATTTAAGACTTAGCTTAACATGCATTCTAGTGTATGTTCTTCAGGCTGGTATATATGCTTCTAGCACATACTAGCATTTCTTAGAATAAGACTTTGAAATTACTCAAAACTAAAATTTGATATGTTATAGATCACACCTGAGGATATAGTCTCCTTCACTTAATACCATTGAACGTATCAGTTAAGCACTCTTGGACCATTAGATTATATTTACCTATTTGCATAAGTCTAATGAGCCACGCTCTTGCCCACCTAGCAGTTTCGAAAGCATGCAAATGTGATTAGATACATAGGTATCACTTTGGTGGAAAGTAACAATGTTATGTGTGCTTTGGCGTATAGTCATGCTGTCTATATGACCACAGAAATGGTCTTCAGACAACTCTGGTTTCTTGGTTAAGAAACGGAGATGAGCACTGCCCCCTAGAATCAGATATGACTCGATGGGAAAACCTTTATTTTTTTAATGAGCCTATTTCTGAATTTATATCCTAAGATTCCTGAACATTTTCTCTTCCTTGTCTCTTTCTATGATATTGGATAGAGATTAGATATCTATGATATTGGTTCACTAACTTATACCATTTTTAAAAGGGAGATGGCTTTCTGATCAGTTGTTTGCAAAGCATTGTTGCTATCACATTTTTCAAACTCAGAAGTGTAACAGTGCACCCTATGTAGTATGTGAATGCTACACATGCTTTAGATGAGTTCAGCAATCATTTAAACATTATGCAAAAAAAAGGCACACATATGAAAATAGAATGTTCCATTTTCCATGTCAATATTTCTAAATATATTAATCCACTAAATAGCATAGCTGCAATTTAGCTATCTGTAACACATTAGATCACATTAATTAATGTAGAATACAAAAGAAAACAAATCACAGAATTTAAACTGAAAAACTGCTTTAAGAATTGCATTTTCTTAAATTACTTCAGGGTATCAGAAAGAAGTTAGATCATGCTGAATTTTTCATCTTCCTACCCCCTCTTAGTGTTTACTGTTCTGTTATATTACACCCACATAAGAAATTTTCTGGGTGTTATACACTCAATTAAAACATGTTATACAATAAATTTAAATATATATATAAATATTACAATTTTAAAACTAACATATTACATACATTTTGAAGCATTATTAAAGAAAAAAATAAATCTTCATTTGGCACCAAAATGTAAGCATCAGGCTAGCATCTCTGCAGAAAGTAATGTCCTGCTTAAGTAATAGAGGGAGACACTGCTTCTGGCAAGACTGACCTTAACTGATGATTAAAGGGACTCATGATCTTATCTAGTTGTTAATGAAATTTCTGCAAGGTAATAACCAAGCTCAGAGAGCATCAGTGATTCCACAGTCTTTGGGCATTATAGGCTACTACCACCACTTTTTTGCAAGAAAAATGGACTGATATGCAGACAGATTTCAAAGCCCTGACATAACATAGTTATGTCAGCCATTCTCAGGTAGCAGCCTAGCTTCTCTATTTTTAAACCAAACTTTCTGGACTATTTTCAAAGGGACATTTATAATCCATAATCCTACCTGGAGTGAAATCAGCATGAATGAGGTTGCTAGGCTATTTTTCTCCTGGCAAGGTCATAGTTGTTGTTATCAGCCCAGTATGGTAAAAGGTATCCTAAGTTCCTGAAGCCATTCAAGCTTTCAAATGAATAATGCTGGGTCCAAAAATGTTATCAAAACCATACCCTTGAACTCTAGTGGAAATACAATTCTTTCCTCAATTAGATGAACACAATTAATCAAACAGGTAGCCCATTTACAGAATGTTTGCTTTCTTTGTACTAAGTGAGAGCTATTCACCTTATTCCAGGCCATCATCTTGCTCAGGCCTATTTATTATTTATGATTATTTTCAAAATAATTCTTCAAGAAAAACTCCTTTTCAGAACACACATGTACTGCAAAATGAGTTCCTCAAGCATATTGTAAAAATATTTATATACACTTAAAAAGAACACAAGAACGGTGAAATCGTGACTTCATATAATTGAAAACATCACTCCATATGGGAATACATTAAAATATTCTTTATATTAAAAGAAGCTCTAAGGTAATTTCTTTTGTTTCCTCCTTTGTATAATTTAGCATGGCTATAGAATAGCTTTCAAAGTTAAGGTAAACAATTTAATAACACTATTTTCTGATTATGAAGCAATTCAAAAAATAAAGCAATTTGATAAAGGAAACAATTCTGTTAACAGAAATAGTTTTTAATATGCTTTTGTAATGTGTCTAACTTTCCACTCCTAAATTACCCACTGATCAGGAACAATTACAATTAATAAACAAATCAATGCACACGGATTGAAGCTTTATGCAGATCCACTGCTGAGGAATCCTGTTCAATATAGCAGTACTCATAATGTATCTTGAGAGAAGGGAAGCTAAACCTGCTGCTCATTCCAGTTCAAGAACCAGATACTGAACAAGCAGGAAGAAATGCATTGTTAGACTGTGGGACAAGTTTAAAAGCTTCTTGTTTAAAAGAATGAGACAGATGCTAATAGGATCGGACATAAACTACTTCTGATGTAACAGATGTTTCTCTGTTGACTTAGATGAACAGATCTAAAATACATATATTACCTGTCCACATCCAGGGGCAGTACATAGAAAGGGTTTGTCATCACTCATATTCTACAGGTTCTTGTGTTACCTGCATTGGAATAGCAAACATAATTAGTTAAGATTCTGCCAAGAATTTATCTTGCATTGATTTATATGACAAAGTCTCAAATAAAAAACAATATTTCAATACACTTAATTATTACAAGCATATTTCTAAAACAATATAATAAAAAATCCCAAATAATTTGGTGCATTCTTTGTCAAAGTGAAATTGAACCTTGAACACGCAATTATTAGTCAAGCTTGAAAACATTTTTATGAAGTACAGCAACTAGGCTTTATTATTTAAACAGAACACAAATGTGTCAATGTCTCCCTTTGGTAGATTCCACACCGATGCAGGTAGCCCTTGATTTATAAGTTGTTCAGTAACTGTTTAACATTACGATACTAAAAAAGTGACTTATGACCATTTTTCGCACTTACCAATGTTACAGCATCCCCATGGTTATGTGATCAAATTCAGATGCTTGGCAACTGACTCATATTTATGATGGTTGCAGTGCCCTGGTGTCATGTGATCACCTTTTGCAACCTTCTGACAAGCATAGTCAATTAGGGAAACCAGATTCATTTAACAACCATGTTACTAATTTAACAACTGTATTAATTCACTTAACAACTGTGGCAAGAAAGATTGTAAAATGGGCAAAATTCACTTAACAAATGTCTTTTGGACTCAAGTGTGGTTGTAAATCGAGGACTACCTGTATGCCAAAGGGATAAGGTGAAGAATCTACTGAGTACAAAAAACTCTTATGCCAGAGATGCTATATTTTATTTCTGGTTTTGGATTGGATGAGTTACTTTTTCCCATTTAGAGTTAATTTAAAATCTGGGAATCCCTGAAGAACAGGTGCTACCTATACATAGAACAGCCTTTCACAGCTTCATTCTGTGCACCAATTACAGTATGGCCTTTCCTGGATAAGAAAACCTTCCTCAAACCACTCATATCTTGATAACCTATTTGTGGGATGTAGGCATGGGACTGACTTGGAAAGTTACTGAGAAACTTTGGATGGTCCACAATGCAACAGCCTACGTTTATCAGCAGCTTGACTTTACAGGTACTAGTCTATCTGCACATGTAACAATGCTATTTAGCCAGTTCGTGGGATATCAGTTTGCTTCCGAGGCAATTCAAGGTGCTGGTTGTCATCTTTAAAATTCTATATGATCCAGAACCTGAGCATCTTTGTAATATCCTACTTAAAGTGGTTCCTTCTATATTGAACAGTTGGCTCCTTTTGGAACACTATTGCTAGGAAGTATAATCTATCCTCCCTTCTCTAGAACCTGGAGGTCAGACTTGGCTTGAATCTCTTGGCCTTTCAAAAAATGATCCAGAACCGGCCTTGACAACAACCCTCTGGGACCTAAGGAGTTTGTCCCTTGAGGAGTTTCCTGCAGATTAAGTGTTTAATTTGTTCCTTGGTGCTTAAGAGTATATGATGGTGGTAATTTTGTTATTTGTATTTTTACTTCCATTACTATGCTCAGATATGTAAGGTGCTCAGAATCACTTGGATGGAAGCAAGATAAATATATAAACAAAGACATTACTAAGTGGTGACTAATACTAGTGCAACCTAATTGCTATGGAAGATTATAAAACTTAATGGAAACATAAACTGAGAGCTGATTAGATACCATTAATTCAGAGGTTCTTAGACTTAACAATGGAAATGAGGAATATATAAAATATCAGAAAATGTGTCGGTGGAATCTTTAATTAGATCAGATGGGTCTTGAATAATTTTTACCCTATTAAAACAGATCATAATTAAGCCTGACAATCAGTAGACTAAATTTCTATCTTAATGAATACAAATGGGACACTTTTTAAATAAGTTTAAATTTTAAAATGTTCTAACCCATTTTAGATTCTAACGGATTCCAATAAAAAGTGTTCATATTCAGTGAAGTGAATCTCTCTTTAATTGCAGGTGGGTAAGTTTATTTCCATTTATGAAAGATTATTATGTTTACTCTGACTTGGTAGAGTCAATTCTTTTCATGAAATATTAACTTCCATATTTTAGGAAAATAGTTCAACAGCACATTTATATCTTTAGCTGTTGTTTTTCTTTCCAAAATTAAACCATGAAACCAAACCAAAGCTCTAGATGGACAAGATTTAAGTTCTTATAACTGATATTATGATTCTAATTAAGCTAACTAGCCAAACTGAACTAGTTTTTGATGGCAATTCCACAGAAAGCATGATGCAGAAATCCAGATATGGTTAATTCAAATTGGCCTTCTGTGTAGGTAGCACTTGTATTTAAGTTGCTGCACATACACAATGTGAACAATGTCAGAGAATAATGCAGGTAGTCTTTGACTTACAACTGTAATTCAGCTCAGAATTACAGCTGTAAGTTGTCCTGGTTGGTAAGTGATTCAATGTATGACTGCACCTGGTTTTATGACTTTTGTGATAGTCATTAAACAAATATCACAGTTGATTAAAAAATCCACTTTCTGCAATGGGCGTTTGCCAGAAACCAGCAAAAAAATATAGAACATGTTCACATGATTGTGTGATATTGCAAATGGCTGTAAATGCAGTCTGAGCACCCAAAATGCAATCATATAACCAATCATAGTGAGGATGGGGTGGGGCATTAGCTGTAGGAACTTTGAATCCAGGATGTAAATAGCCCTAGGGACCAGTTGTAAATTGACAATTACCCACAATTTCCATCAAAATTGCACTCCGGTTCACCAAACAGTATTGCCCAGATGGACATTATACACTAGGAAGAAAAATCTGGACCCTTGTATACCAAGATAGCATGGGGATAATCAGTGTATGAATTTGTCCTTCCCAACAGGCTACTGTCATATGAGGTCCTTTAAAATAAACATATGGGGCAATCTAATTTCATTATTGGAACATTGACCACAACATAGCTAAATAACAATATTGAAAAGTGCCAGAGTTTATTAACCAATCATAATTGGTTTCATGCCTTCTGAGCTATTGAGCACACCTCAACTCCCTCCAATTTTTTAAGGAAAAAGTCTAATCCCATCTAGAAATGGTTGAAGAGCTTTATGAGCTTTCATCCAATTACTACTTTCATGCAATCAGTACTATCATTAAGCTGCCAAAAAATCAAGAACCCATTTAGTCACAATTTCCTTTTCCCCCACAACCATCCACATCAGGGTAGCTGAGAAAACTTTTGGCCTGAAGACAAGTCAGCATCAGAAATGAAGGCCATTACTTCCAACATAAATTTAGTTTTTGTTTTCTGTTTCCACCATAGATAGAACAAGAAAAGAATCCCATGCTGCTACTTGTTCCATCAAATCAATACATATTTGGTTTCAGACACAAAATACTAAAAAGTATTTTATATGAACCACTTCTTCCTCAGCAATAGATGTGTCTTTTTAAGCTATGTATGCTAATGAAAACATACATCTTGCTCTTTTCATTGAAAAAATATATATCTCAAGACAAGGCATATAATAATTTAAAAGACATCTTTCTCTCTCAAGAAATTCTTCTTTTTGGTCCAGTAGTATAGACAATAAAGTATTGTTACCCATTGATGCAAGAAACAACTGAATGATCACATTCATTAGCTTTCTAGGCTTTTAAAAACAATCATGACAGGTAGCACTATTCTTGCAATTGTTTGAAAGGCACCTTCTCTAAATTGGACAATTTGGAAAAGAAGTCTTTCAAATGATCATGAGAATGGCTCCTGTTTGTAGAACATCACAAGGCAGCTTCTATATAAGGAGGTCACACTTCACGTTGGCTGAGCATGCTTGTCAGCAGCTGCAGAAAAAGGCAAAGGTAAGTAGAGAAATATTGTATGCTGCTGGGCTCTGTAACTGGCAGAGACCTCCTGGGTATGCAAGAGTGGAGAGTAGGCCTGAGTCTCCAGAGCCATGGCAACATTGTGCACACTGGGGCACCAAAGGTTGGCTGCGACTGGGGTAGATATAGGTGAGTGTGTAAGAGGAAATTACAACAGCCTGAAGTTGGTTATGAGGATGAACTGACTGCCAAGTGTCTGAATTTTTATCATGTGACTACAGGGGCTTTGCACATCTATAATTCTGACTACAGGTCACATGTCTTTTCATTCAACATCATTGTAATTTCAAATAGTTGCTACCACACCCTAATTCAAACCTGGGAATTTTACAGTGTCCTAGCCATTTTCTTTGGCTGACCCTATCCAGCCTGTGTAAAGTCAACTGGAAATTAGAAATCAAATGTAAATAAGATGTAATATGTATTACCAGTAGTAACTAATCAAAACCACATAATTTACTGCTCTTTATAAAGTGGTAAAATTAATGTTGAGCGCAATTAAGTTCAGCCTATTGGTTCAGCCCTCAGCAACAGTTCCAGTCTCTCATGTGGCCCCTTGGGAAAATCGTATCCCGTGCTCTAATCAGTCTATTTGAAAAATGAATGCAAATAGAAACTTTTATTCAGTCACATGACACATGACTTGGAGAATATATTATTATATCCATAGCCTGGAAACAAGTATTTCTGAGATGATGAGAAATAGATTTTATTTATTCTTTGAAGACAGAGGTAAATGCATTAATATGTAGTTGTTTCAGGACTTTAGAATTCTTCCTTAGAACACATACATTTTCACTGTTTTTGGGCAACAACTCCAACCTGCAAAACTAGATATTCTGCCAAACATATGGTATTTCATGAATAAGCAGTTTTACAACACAAGGACATTCAAAATGGAATTATCTAAACAAGGTGTTGGTAAACATGTACAGAGGGGAAATAAGTTAATTTTATGATATTTAATAGCCTATTTAATAGTCTATTTCCAAAGTTTAAATCCAAATTCCTATGACCCCCAATGGGATTGATAGGGGCCCATTCAAAATTCTTTTCATAGAAAAATTGAAAACATCTGAACTAGAGGAATGTATTTCAGTATTTCAAAATTACGTGTACAGAGTAACATTTATAAACTTCTTTTTAAAGTAAGTATTTTAAACTACAGGTAGTTCTCACTTAACCACAATTGAGACTTGCAACTCTACCATTCAGAAACATGGTCATTAAGTGAGAAATCACATGACCAAGACTTAGGAATTTTACTGCAGATTAATTCACTCACTCTGCTTGTTGGAAACTGGCTGTGAAGTATAAAAATGGCGATGAAGTGACTATGGAGCACTGCAAAGGTTATAAGTGCCACAACCAACTGTAAAGCTATTTTCAGCACAGTTGCAACTTCAAATGATCGCTTAATGAATGAAGAATATCTACATAATTTCAAAAGAACATATCAAAATCTTTCTTCTTGACTTGGCAATCTTAGTATACAAACATTCAGTATACAAACTACTCAAGGTAGGTTTCAGAACTGATTTGAAATAAAATGAAAAATTAGAGAAAAATGTCACAATAGTAACTTAGTAAAATACACACAGGTAGTCTGCCTTACTGACCACTCATTCAGCAACCATTTGAAGTTGTAATGGTCCTCAAAGTTGTGGCTATCACGCTGTGCTCACGGTCATGTGATTGTGATTCAGGTGCTTGGCAACCACTCGCATTTATGACAGCTGCAGCATCCTGCGATCATGAGACTGCCATCTGCAACTTTCCCTACCAGCAAGCAAAATCAATGGGGAAGATGGCAAATGTCACAAGTGGTTCTGGTAAATCTCCCCCTTTTTGCACACTGCACCCTCCTCTCCTGGCTCCCTGCTCTTGACCCATTCCCTCCTTCCCTCAGCTTCCCTATGTTTGCACTGCACCTATCACATACCCCTGCTCTCCTTACATGGGGCTCCCACCGCTTCCTGCTTAATGACTCACACGTCTTGAGAGTTACAACAGCAACCGTTACTGTTTGGATTGCTGTTGCTGAACAATATGGACATTGCACTTTATGACATTACTTAGTGATGCCAATCCCAGACCCAACTGCCATCACCCATGGACTATCTGTAATCATTCTAAAATAGGGAATAAATAAAACCATGGTATCAAGAAAATGGAATACAGGTAGTCTTCATGCTTGACTACCTCAGCACCCTCACAGTCAAGTGATCAAAATTCAGAATCTTAGCAACTGGCATGTATTTACAACAGTTGCAGCATCCCAGGGTCATGCAATTACTATTTTGCAACCTTCCCAACCAGCTTCTGACAAGTCAAAGTTAATGGGAGAAACTGGATTTGCTTAATGATGCAATTCCCTTAAAAACTGCAATAATTTGCCTAATAACTGTGGCAAAAGGGTTGTAAAATCAGGTGTGATTCAGTTAACCACCTTGCTCAGCAACAGAAATTTTGATCACAATTGTGGTCATAAATTGAGAACTATCTTTATACAATAAGAGACTATGCACTAAACATCTTGATTCAGTTCAGACTAAATTACAAGCTTAAAACTTGACATGACTGTGATGAGATAAATGTCATAAGCATATATAAACATATTCTTTATAAATAATTAGCAGACAGATTCTTCATCTTCCACTATAGGTCCTCTATATAGAATAACTTTAAACAGGACATTTCATTCCAGCTCAAACATTACCCAACTAAAATTTAGGCTTCTTTCAGATGGCCAAATTATAAGTGCTATCCATCAGTATTTGAGCCAGCAGAAAAGCATGTCACATGAATTGTGCTGCCCTGATTGCTGATCCTTAATCTCCTTCTGTAACAAGGCTTTAAAATGGTGCTATGCAAACTTAGTTATTACAGGTCAAGTTTAAAAATGTGATTGGTAAACTCCTCCGGATTTGTTTCTTCTCCGACCCAGCATCAACTCCAAGCAGGAAAAAAATTCTTCTTACTGTGGAGAGGAAGACATCTAGACAGATTTATTGGATTTGTAGGACACTTGACTCCATCATGATTAAGATGCTTAGCATTATAGACCTAGCTACCTGTCAATTGTTCTAATAATAAATGGTAAGCACTTCCCCATGGAAATCAGATTGGTGGCTACTCTGGTTTCCAAAGGCAATCAAGGTAGAGTTAGTACAGCCTTTAGAATCTTAAATTACTCGTTAGACTGATGAAATAATTGTGGCAGATCTCAATCATTACCAAGCAAACTGCTGCATTATGCACCAGTTGTAGCTTTCTAATCTTCAAAGATAACAATACTGGTCCTAGGTGTTGGCATGCTTATCTGTGAATCCTCCAAAATAAAAGTATTAATAATAAAAATCCAGCAGCTGACCTAGCAGAACTTTTGTAATACACCCAACAGTGACTGAGCCAACAACCTATAGTTGGCAAAACACTGTTCACTTTCTATGTTAAAACTAACCCACTGCGCAGCATAGGATTACTAGTCTTTCAAAAGTATCCTAAACTTATATTTAGAACATAAGATTAGCACTTGTGTTTTTTTAAGTCCTAAAACTGTATGTAAAAAAAGCCTGGATGTAAGATTTGAAAATGCATTTTATGAAAGATAACCTTTGCTGGAGGTCCAATATTTTCTACAGCCCAAATCAAAATGGTCATTTGATGACAATTCCCAAGAACCAATAAAATCTGGGCAGACTTAAATTCCTAATTGTAATGGTTACCAATTAACCTATTAACTACAATTGTATCGGCAGAAGAGAGAAAAGTGTTTAAGAATTGAAATGGCCAAGGTCAACCAACCCTTGCTACAGGGATAGGGTGGAAATCAGATGAAGGCAATGTCAGGAAGAAAAAGTTACTTTGGTGTCAGGATTGGAATCCAATGAGAAAGTGTTGATTGGATAGACTATCTGTCCTACAAGAAGGAATAATAGTGACACAATAAAACACCAGCAGCCTCTGCTACAGTTAACTCTCACAACCTCCTTTTGCAACTGAAAAAAAGGAAAGCCTTCTGTGGGCCAAGAGCTTTATTTTGTTCTCAATTTCATTTAACTCCAGCTGTCCAGATGTCTTTCCTTGCAGGACACAGTGGAGTAGATCTGTGGCCATTGCTCTTCAAAAGCGACACTTAAACCATCAAAAGCCAACAGGACCGTGAGGAGGGAATATATCCGGATCCTGGAGCCTTCGGAGCTTCCCTCCCTGCGGTCCCTATATATGTCCCTATGTCTGTATCTCCATATATGCATGTACTTGTCTATCTGCACTCCCAATGCTATATAAGAAAAGGAGGCGGCGGCTCGGGCCCTCCGTGGCACCAGCTCTCTTCTTTCCTCCTCCAGGATTCCAGGAAAAACGGGAGACGGAGGCGTCCGGGCCAAGGCCCACCAGGAACGACAGGAGAAGGTAGGCTGGTATCGGGAGCAGCCAAAACCGGCTCCCGGGAGCAAGGGACGGGTCGAAGGAGGGAAAAAAAGAACACGGAACGGCGGCGCCATGTTACACTTCCCCAGGTTCCCTTCTCTCCTATCCTCCGCCACCAGGGCCCGGCTCTTCTCCCTCAGCCTACCCCCGGGCTAGGGCTACAGCCACACCCCGAGCCGTTATCCTACAACGTCAAGGAGGGGCACGGCCTTCCTCTCCGCCTCCATTAAAACAAAACCAGACCGCCGCGCGCGCGCGCACACACACACACACTCACACACAGCCAACTCACCCCTCACGACCGCCGGCCGAGCCGCACATTAAAGCCCGGGTTTTTTGTCCCCCCCCACTTCCCACCCGGTTCTCGTCACATCTCGCGGGAACTCCGTGACATAGCGGTTTCTCTCTCTCTTTCGCGTTGCCTTCTTTCCCTCCTGCTGGATCAGGAGAAAACGGGGTCACGGGCCGCGCGGAGACGGACCGGGTGCAGCACAGACGGAAGAGGAAGGAGAGGCACGCACGACCGCAGGAGGGAGAGGCCGCGTGGTTGTGGGCTCCGCGAAGGCGGGGCCAGTGCCATTCCGCCGGTGCCTGGGTGGCCGGAAGCAGCCCCGTCCTTCCTTCCTTCCTGCGCTCCTCCTTTTCGCGCCTGCGCGCAGAAGAGGAAGGTGTCCTTTCGAGGGGGATCCTGGGTGTTGCCAAGTGCCGGTGGGGAGGGGCAGGGCTGTTGGATTTGAAATGCACGGAGGAGTGTTAGCTGGAGGCAAAAATCATGGCACATTGATAGTCTCTGCAGCCAGGTGGCTTTTATTTCATAGGGCAGTCTTTTATTGCTTTTGTAAAAATTTTCTTGGTTTTCCCCCTGGATTTTTTTTTCGTAAAGTGAATTTATAAACAATTAAAAATATTATCCTTATGAACCTTCTACATTTGCCCTTTTCAGGTTTACCCTTTTCCCCCAAAATATGGTCACTCTGTATATATATATATATATATATATATATACACATATATACACATATATATATACATATACATACATATACATATACATACATATACATATATAGATATATATAGATATAGATAGATAGATAGATATAGATGTATATATACATACACACACACACACCCCTTATATATTTAGCATAAAATGCACTTGTAAATCATTCCAGTTACAGTTGCTAAGTGAATCTGCCTTCCTCGTTGACTTTGCTTGTCAGGTGGCCAAAGGTGTTCACAAGGCCCCAGGACACTGCAACCATCATAACTGTGAGTCAGTTGCCAACCATCAAAATTTTGATCATGTGACCACGGGAATGCTGCAGTGGTCGCAACTGTGAAAAATGGAAGTTATTTTTTTCAGTGATGTAACTTTGAAGGCTCGATAAATGAACTGTTGTACTAACTTGTATACTTCTCTTTGTCTGATAGGAATTATGGATGTTGGAAATCCAGCAGTTCATCCATACAGGTAATTAACAGTAATTGGAACTGCTATTGTCAAATGACACAATCATAAAGCATGTCATCCTATGACTGCAGATGGCAGACCTGGCTATGGCAATTGTGGCAGTCCTAGTTATCATTAAGCAACAATTGTCTTAAGCAAGGACTTCACATGAGCAGGACTTCCATCTTCTTGCCAGTTTGATTTTGTTTGTGGGAAGGCAGCAAGGAACATTGGAAATTATGATTGTATGACTGAGGATGCTACAATGGCTGGGACTCCAAGGACCAGTCATTAAGCCCCCACTTTATACACTTGAGCAGTCACTGAGTGGACAATACCCAAGGGCCACCTGTACTGCTTTGAGGAAAGCTAAATTAATGCTTGTGGTATAACATGAGTCTTAAATGTTGACATTCATTTTGTAGATTATGCAAACTTTAATACTTGATGCAAGTCTTCTACCAGTTTAATGTTATTAGCATCATCATAATCAATTCTTGGTTTTTTTTGCTTTTTTTTCCAATTGTAAAATCAATTACAGCTAAAAAGAATGCAGACCAAATTAGGCAATTGCATAAATATCAGCCACGTTCCAGTTGTGATTTTCAGTAATGTTCAACCATTCTAACCTATCAGCCCCCCCCCATCCATCTTGAATCGGATTTGGGGCTGCCACAAGGGAGGATGGGTGACCTTGGGAATGAAAGTAAAGTGAGAAGGGAAGATGGCCACAACATTCTTTCGCCAGAGCTCAAGGCCGAGTCACTGAATTTGGAGGGGAGTGACTGGACTGCGGGACTTCAGAATGGAGGCGGATTGGACAGTGTGACTTGAGGGTCATCAGTAAGGGGGTTGGATGTGAGTTTAATCTGGCAGGGGAAAACGCGGGATTTTAGATTTGGGTTTTCCCAGATGTGCCAATATGACTTCTCTAATAAATTCTTACTTGGATGGACATTGTCACTGAATGCTGAATTGAGATGGAGTTTGGTTGGAACGCTGACACCAACATGTTATGTGAATCGAGAATTGTCTACCATACATCATTATCTAAGGAAATGAGATTAAAAAAGAGCAGCTGAAACCACAGGACATGTTATTCTAAAACTCACCTGGCAGCTATAAAACATACCTTTTAAAACATGATAAGCAATAGCACTCAAAATTGCTCATTGCTTCTACCTGATGGAAGGGGCAGTTGCTGAACTGAAACCCGATCAATATTCTGCCAGGAAAAGTCATGGATGACAAGATTGGAAAAAATTAAAATGGTTTCCATTTCCTAAAATAGTAGTCCTTCTTGTTTACATCTGTATTGACTAATCCAACTTCAAGCTTTTTGCACAAATGTAATTTGCATGCATGATCCTCCTGACTTTCCTATTTAAAATGTCTTTCACTTGTCTTGTTTTAACGCATATGCAATTGGATTTGCTTGGCAATTCTCCATTCTTGGCATTATATTGATACTTTATTTTGAATATGAGATATTTTGTTTGTTGCAAGTATGCATTTGTCTGGCTTGTAAGTAATGGATGAACTGATATTTACGAGTTGACATTTTACTTCACTATGTTCTCCTTTAAATACCTCCCTGATTTTTTATTTCATCATTGAAGAGCCATAAGATAAATCTTCCAAATGTTGTATAAAAGGCATTTGTTAAGTTACACCCTTTATTAAATATTTCAGGTAGTCATTTATAATCTGAAAAGCAATTTCCATATGAATATTCCCAGTGGTCCATTTTTGTATTTCTTTAAAGTGTCACACAGGTGTAATTAATCCTCCCCCAAATGATGACTCTACTGGTGCTACTCACACAGCCAACAGCCATTCACCAAAGGGCATTGTTTCCAATTGTGGATATAATTTAGGCCCATGTAAGATAAAGCAAAGTCATATACGCAATTTGAACAGATCACATTCACAATATTATTCCACTGAGCTTCAATACCAATTTTCCTGGCACGAGCTCTCAAAAGATGAATGTCAACCTCTGGTCTCTCAATAGATTTTGAAAAAGTCAAGTAATTAAAGAACAAACCATGGTAAGTTTAAACTTGTTACCATCTTTAATTAAGCTGCTTTGGAAGTAGCATACATTTCCATGATAAACATTTTCCAAGCTCACTTTCACAGAATCACATTGTAGTTCATTAGTGCCAACACTGGAAACAAATCTCTTCACATGGCAAACAGAATTAAGAATGCAACCATGAGACAGAAGAGACCCATGGCTTCGGACAGGGCAAATCCCAGAATAGCATAGGAAAATAGCTGCTGTTTCAGAGAAGGATTCCTAAACAGAAATACAAAATAAAAGTCACATTTGTACAAATAGTAGAAAGTAATTTTAATTTTACAGAGTAGGCATCCTTTCAGAACATATGCTCCTTCTAATCTTTAAAGACCTCGTAGGTAATCAAGAGTAATAGGAAGATCAACAATGTATTTCAACACCTGTCTCTCACATTATGAGGGATGGCCACAAAGGATGATATGATTTCATTCGATTTTCATTTTGAGTTCTTAGAAAAGTAATGGAAAAAATAGCAACCTGTTCCTTGCCTATTAGCTAATAGGTGATCAGCTAAGAAGGGTATAACATGGGTGGAGCTCTGGCAGGCCAATGAGAGGATGGTTGTGGGCCCATGCTAATGAGACCTTAAAGCGAATAAAAAAAAGATGCAGTTCATTTAAGGAGGGGATGACACATACCATGTGCTAACCCACACAAATCTGGATAGCAATGTAGCCTAGGTATATAACAACAATTACCTACATCAAACTTTTTCCAGCTTTCAATAGTCTTCTGAAATCATACATCTGGAAATTAGCACCATGGACAGCCCTAATGATTGCTGCCCACTCTTGAAGGAGATAGCTCACACTTTCTAGTACAGCTGATTACCATTAAACCCATTGACATTTTAAAAAAGAGATGGTGGGATTAGCTTGCTGTAGGGTATGGCTGCCCTTCCACATGCCACCTGTATTTCAAGACAGATCGGTCATTTTGAGATCTTAGCTCAACTGGATGTGGCAACATTACATAGCTCAGGAAACTGGAAAACTTGGAAATTTATTTAATGCTTATATTTCTGATTAAGAAATCAGTTTCTCAAAAGCTACATATGATGATGAAAAGAATCCTAATCCTAGTTTAATGAAATCAGCCATTTTTAAGAGATTTATTTCTATTCTTAAGTGTAACTATCAGTCTCATAATGGCACCAATTTCATACTCTTCAGCTAGGTAGGGAGAGGCAACCTGATGCCTTCCAAAATCTCGGAATATTGGCACATTGGTTGAGATTGTGGAATTAAAATACTAAGAATAGACTTGTTTGACTATCCTAGTCCTGAAGATCCACTGTTTGGTATATTTTTCAGCAGTGTATGTTTTGAAGGTTCGCTATCAACAGATGGCTTCAAAAAAAACCATGACTTGCTGAAAGGACTATGACATTGATTCTGTAACTAGATGTGATGTAATATAGTAGGAAGGAGGGCATATATTCCAGAAGAATAAGGCAATCCAAATATTTTGAATGAGAGAAAGGGTGAAGATAGCCTCTTGCTAATAGTTGAGTACATTGTAGATGCAGATAGTTAAGTTCTCAGTGGGATAAGATTTGTCTATATGTGTGAAACAATCTCCCTATGTCACTTGGTTTTTGGGTCTGGCACAGCTGCTTTTTCTCAAGCAGCCTGTTAATATCCTTGAGGCCCATAAATCTTACTATGAAAAACTTATTTTTAGCTGGAAAGATGGGGTCTATTTCTCTAGTTACTGAATATTACAGGTTGCTCTCACCTTCTGACTTGTTCAGTGACCATGGTCCAAATTACCATGATGTTAAAAAAGATGACTTGTGACCGGTCATGAAAGTTGTGACCATCACAACATTCCTATGGTGATATGATCATCATTTGGGTACTTAGTGCATTTACAATAGTTGCAGTTCCTGCAGTCACATGACCACCATTTGATCTTCAGTCGGTTTCTGACATGCAAAGTCAAGGGGGAATTCAGCAGGAAGTTGCAAGTAACATGATTAATGATCTATGGTGATCTGCTTAACAATGGCAGCTGGAACTGATGTCATACATCCAGTATGGTCATATGACATCTCACTTTATGATGGTGTTGCTTAGAGTT